TGTACTTGTTAACTGGGCATGTGTTCAACCACGAAACCCAAACCAAATCACCACATCCATCCAAGACCAAGATTACTTTTTGACGATTGTAATTCAAGTACAGCTTTCCAGGCCCTACTTTTTGGGGGGTGGCTGACTAAATAAGTGTTTTCTCTTCCAGAGGCCCCTCAATTAGGGAGCCGTGGAAGGAAAGGGGGGAGAAACCCCGTCTTTATTGGTCGTCGTTAAGTCACCCAACCTCCGTCTCCGGTCACTCCGGGATAGGAGGAAATGAACATAGACTGCCCATTGCTTGCGCTGGCCATGGAGTCAAGCAGGCGGGGTTGGGGGGAGGCTGAGTTCTCTACTCACCTAGTACTGAGCTGCTGTAAAAATCCCAGGCAGTTTGGGGATCCCCGTCAGGTCGTCCCTGCAGGTCCAAGAGGTGATCTACAAGAAAGGAAGAAGCAAGCTGAGGTGGATTCTCTTGATCCAAAGGTCTTGGAAAAGACTCCCTCAATTTCTATCGTGGTGTTTTTTTTAAAAAAAAATCACACTGGAATGACAAATCCAGCACGATTTTGCAAGTCGGTTTCTTGCTGGATTTTATGTTTCTTGCTCAAGGAGCTTTCCTGCAAACCCCAGAGTATAGACTTTGCATTCAAACCCATCTCAGCCTTTCCTCTGAGAATATTATTATTATTATTATTATTATTATTATTATTATTAATCTGCAGAAAGCCACCTTACTGGGACCTGCTCGCATAATCCGCCAATACATCACACAGTCCTAACACTTCAAGTGTTCGACTAGTGATTTGTGAAACGAAACCTAGCATAATTATCTCGTTTGGTGTGTACACTGTCATTTTTTGTGTCAAATAATAATAATGATGAAGATAATGATGATGTTCTGGAGAATGAAAGAGTCAAGATCTTGTGGGACTTCAGAATTCAGACTGACAGGCACTTGGCCCACAACCATAGTTGAAAAGAAAAAGGGTTGGTTCATTGACATTGCAATACCTGGTGAGACACGCAGCAAGAAAAAATCACGAAGTATCGGGACTTACAAATTGAAGAAATTGTGTGTTATCCCAATTGTGATTGGAGCCCTTGGAGCAATACCTAAAGGGCTACCTCACTATTTGGAAATTCTGAATTTATCAGACTTGAATACCCTGATTCTACAAAAAAAAAACACCCTACTTGGAACAGCTTATATCCTCTGACGCTACCTGAACAGTTCCTAGGTCCTTGGTTAGGACTCGAGCTGTTGAGCTACCAGCCAGCCCCAAAGGCTGTGAATCTCACTAAAGATTAACAATAACAACAACAACAACAATAAAACACATCCTAGCCAATTCAAGAGTCCAACTGTTCATCTCCTACAAATCGGTAATCATTATCATCTTTTAACGATCCCATAATCCCTTGCGGGTGGAGTCTGGTTAATTGAATGGAACTAGCGGAGTGTTTACTGGCCGGATGCCCTTCCTGTCACCAATGCGGAGTTACATTCGGCGGATATATTCTCATTGTGCCCAGAGAGAGAAATATCTGTCACAACCTAGGATCGAATTCACAGTGTTCCTGATTGTCGAGGCGAGAGCTCCACCTCTTGGGCCACCGCACCACTCCTCCTAGAAATCAGTAATCCCTCCCACAAAACTGAAATAGATTTTCCATTTCAACGTAAGTCTCTGTGTGCATTTTCCATCCCTGTGGAGGAGGATGGCTGGAGAGTTGAATGGAGAGACCGAGGATGGTGGATAAATAAACAGCTAACAAACCACCGTGTTGCTTTTAGGAGGGAGCGACTTACCAGTCAGGTAGTTCTTCATCACATCGCTGTTGGCTAGCTTCAAGGCCGTCTGCCCCGAATAGGTAGCCAGGGTTGGGTCAGCACCGTAGGAGAGGAGCAACCACAAAATCTTCAGGTTGTCGTTTGCGACTGCATCGTGTACAGGCCTGGTGGCAGGAGAAAAATTTTAAATAAATTTCACTGCCTCCACTTCCTGGAACAGGCCAAACATTTGGCAGGTCTTACGGCTGTAGCCCAGGTATCAAGAGTATCATCAGCTCCTTCCGGCTAACGTGTTTTAACACCGTGAAAGAAATTTGCATTTTGAATATTCTTTGTTTTCGTTCTCTTTTGGAAAAAAAAAACTCCTTTCTCAGATTTTAAACGTTGCTCTAACTCAGGCGCCTCCAAATTTGGCAACTTTAAGCCAGCATGGGGGATTTTGGGAGCTGAAGTCCACAAGTCTTTAAAGTGGCCAAGTTGGGAGACCGCTGCTCTAACTGGAGAAAGGGGAAGGGAAGGGAAGGGAAAGAAGAGGAGGAAAATAGAAAAGAAAAAAGAAAAAAGAAAAAAGAAAGAAAAGAGGGGAGGAAAGGGAAGGAGAAAGGAATTTTTTTCTCTCTCATTGCAAACACAAAATCCGAAAGTATTTTCAAACGAGCGACAAGAGTAAACATAATTTCTTATCTGGATAAAAGAAACGTGTTAACCGTCTCAGCTTCCCTTGCTCTGGGGAATAATATATCGTTCATTCTCATATTTTCCCATCTAGTCCATAATATTTTACCAAGTTAGAATATTGTTCAGCATTACTTAAAAAAAAACTGTAGTATAGTAATAGCAATAGCACTTAAGACTTATATTGAATTGAATTCTTTATTGTCATTGTATGTATATACACAGTATACACATACAACGAAATTCACCTAACACCCAGAGACCAGACTCAACATGCACACACACAATGACAATCCCCAAACACCTCCCCACCCAAAATTCCCCGCCTCCTAAAAACACACAAGCATCCACACAACAGACCAAATAATACTGTCCAACAGCTTGCTGATGGTGGTCTTTAAGTTCATTGTTAAGTGCGATTATAGCTCTGGGATAAAAACTATTCAGAAAACATGTGGTCCGAGTTTTAATTGTTCTGTATCTTCTGCCAGAAGGCAACAGTTCACAAAGATTGTAAGCAGGATGGGAATATACCGCTTTATAGTGTTTATAGGTTTTTACAGAATCCGCCTCTTGCCCCCAACAATCTGGGTCCCCATTTTACTCACCTTGGAAGGAGGGAAGGCTGAGTCAACCTTGAGCCGGTCAGGATCAAACTGCTGGCAGTGGGCAGAGTTAACTACAGTAATAGACTTAGACTTATATACCACTTCACAGCGCTTTTACAGCCCTCTCTAAGCAGTTTACAGAGTCAGCCTATTGCCCCCAATAATCTGGGTCCTCATTTTACCCACCTCGGAAGGATGGAAGGCTGAGTCAACCTTGAGCCTGGTGGGATTTCAACTGCCAAATTGCAGGCAGCCAGCAGGCAGCAGAAGTAGCCTGCAGTACCGCACTCTAGCCACTGCGCCACCGAGGCTCTTATATGTACGTATAGATACAGGCTCAGTTTTATATATTCCAAAAGTTGGAATCCAGAATCCACACCTGCCCCCCCCATGGAAGGCCCGCTCACCTGGTGCCTTCTTGTGCACTGCAATTCACGTTGGCCCCATGTTCCAGCAGCGTCTGCAGGATGTCGACCCAGCCCCGGGCGCAGGCCTCGTGCAGAGCCGTGTACCCGGCGTTGTCTCGGTGGTTGACGTCGTTGTTTGGCTTCTGCAGGCAGTACATCACCACGTCCTGCGAAAGGAAAGGCCGCGGTTTGCACAGGTTGGGCTCGGCTCCCGCGCATGGTGACAAGAATGTCCATGCCACGAAGCCAGGTGGCGGTGAAGGGAACCTCACCTGATTTTATGGGCCCCTCCCCCCCCCCTTTTTTTGCAATGGTGGTTGGAAATGAAATCAAGCAGTCGTTAAATGAATCACACGGTTAGCTTGTTGAAAGCTGACTGGGATGGTTGCAAATAAATTGACCCCCCACACACACACACACCCTCTTCTTTGTGGCAGCCTCTCAAATACTGGAATCATCCAGGGGGGGGGATTCAACTAGTGTTACTACTGGTTCGGTTATTGCGTTTTGCGCACGCATGCACCTTAGGCTGTGCCGCCCGGACAGCTGACAAACGCTGCGTGCGGGTGAGCAGCGTTTGAAAAGCCTCTTTTCCCCTGCTTTTTCAACCTCAGCTGTGCCGTGCAAAGCAACTGAGGTTGAAAAAGCAGGAAATAAAGGACAGGTAAAAGCTCAGGTGGGGCGGGTGGGCCAAACAGCAGCAGACACAGAACCGGTTTGGTGTCTGCTGCTCTTCAGAGCTACCGGTTCTATAGAGCCAGGCAGAACCGGTAGCATCCCACCCCTGGCTATCGTATCTCCCCAAATTCTCCTTTTCTTTAGTCTAGCCAGACTCAAAACCTGCAGCCGTTCTTCGTAGGTTTTAGTCTCCAGGCCTTGGATCATCCTCAACAGATGCCGGCTGCCAAGCCCCCAAATTCGATCACATGACTGTGGGGGATGCTAGAGCAGTCAAAAGTGTGAGGACCGGTTGCAGGTCATTTTTTTTCCCAGTGCCTTTGTAGCTTTGTAGATTCCCTAAATGAATGGTTGTTAAGTCAAGGGCCACCTGCAACACTGTCCCTCCAGCACTGCTGGCCTTCATTGCTCTATAGCAGGGGTGTCAAAGCTGAGGCCCATGGGGGCCGGTTCTGGCCCACGGGGGCTCTCTGGAAAAAGGGACGGACCGGACTGCTGTGTCTCTGCCAGCAAAAACAGCTTGGAAGGGCCCCACGAAGCCCTCCTGGGCTCCATTTTCAGCCCCGATGGCCTCCTGCAGCCCTCTGCCAATGAAAATGCCCCCCCCCCGGCTCCATTTTCGCTGGCAGAGGTCTAGCAAAACAAACTAAAAACAAAACAAAAAGAGAAATGTTTCCCCTTTTGCATTTCAACATCCAAGAAGGGAGAAGAAAGGAGAAAGGGAAAGAGGAAAGACAGAGAAAAAGATGGGAAGAAAGCAAGAAAGGGAGAATGAAGAGGTAAGGACAAAGAAAAGAAGAAAAAGAAGGAAGGAATAGAAAGGAATAGAATAGAAAGGAATAGAATAGCAATAGCAATAGCAATAGCAATAGCAATAGAATAGAATAGAATAGAATAGAATAGAATAGAATAGAATAGAATAGAATAGAATAGAACAATGGAATGAAGAATAGAATAGAATAGAATAGAATAGAATAGAATAGAATAGAATAGAATAGAATAGAATAGAATAGAATAGAATAGAATAAGGAATAGAATTAGAATTAGAATTAGAATAGAATAGAATAGAATTAGAATTAGAATTAGAATTAGAATAGAATAGAATAAGGAATAGAATAGAATAGAATAGAATAGAATAGAATAGAATAGAAT